GTTGTATCAAGACTAATGTGATCTATTAGATGGTTTTTATATTGGTTAGAATTAAGATTATTTTTATTTTTCCAGTTAATGAGGACCATTTTCTTGGCAATGCATAGGGCCGTAAAAACGACGTGGGCTGTGTTTATTTCTGCAGTGACCTCATCCAAGTTGCCCAGCAAGCATATTAAAGGGGAGGCTGGAATGTTACATTTCAGACACTTTGATAAGTCTACACATATCTCACACCAAAATTTCTGAACTGGTGGACAGAACCAAAGAGCATGGATGTAATTGTCCGTTGTATTTGCTGTGCAGTGTGAGCAGTTGTTGGAAGGCGTATAGCCCATCTTGAACATCCTATGACCAGTATAGTGCACTCTGTGTAATATTTTGTATTGTATTAATTGCAAACTGGGATTTCTGATCCATTGAAAGGTTTTTAAGGATATCTGAGACCAAAGGTTTGGGTCTAAGTTGATTGATAAATCTGGTTCCCATTTTGCAATAGGAAGGGATATTGATTCATCTATTTTAGAAAGTGTTCTGTATATTTTAGACAATGATTTGGGGGGTTTTAGACTAAAAAATTGTACCACAGTTGGTGGTGTTTGTAATTCAGCATCACTGGGATTAAATTTCTTTTTTACTATGGATTTAATTTGTTGATATTCCAAAATTCATTTCTTGTTGATCCCATATTGTGTAACTAGTCTGTCAACTAGTCAGTTAAACTTTTGGGATATTGATGTGATCAGTCAAATAGCAGAGGGGGTTGTTAGTCGATACCTGGACCCTACAGAGATTGCACAGGTAGTCCATCTCCCACATGGTAAAACGGTAAATGAAATTCCAGGAGACAAGAAAATGTTCTAGGAGACCTGGACAAGGCTGTTGAAGGCCCTTAACCCATCATCAGGACTGGGATCTGCTCCGTTTTACAAAAGGAAACTGGATGATCACTGCCAAAACCCTATAAAAATGACAATAATGGCGCCAGAGAGCCCAGTGCCCTCTGGTAAGACCTGTGCTCACCACCCAGCACCATGGAACCCAACTAACCTTTGCCATAGAATACCAGAATTGGTGGGTCCTCCACTTGCGCCCTGTGCTTTTCAAAGATGAAAGCAAGCTTAACCCATGCACATGTGACAGAACTGAAAGGGTCTGGAGAAGTCGTGGAAAAACGTATGTTGTGTAACATCATTCAGCATGACTGGGTTGGTGGTGAGTCACTGGCATATTGATAGAGGGATGCACAAACCTCTACAGGCTAGGCAACGGCACCCTGACTTTCAATAGATACAGTGGGGCAAAAAAGTATTTAGTCAGCCACCGATTGTGCAAGTTCCCCCACTTAAAATGATGACAGAGGTCAGTAATTTGCACCAGAGGTACA